AAGAGCATTTTGTTTCTGTAAATAGCAACCTCAAGGGAAAGAGAATCACAATAACATGCACTAGCTGGACTCCCTGAACAGATGGAGTTACATACAATAAAGACAATGTAGCACCAGTAATAAAGATTTCATAAGTGGTATCTCATTTGATTTCCAAACAATGAGAGGAGAGAAATCAACGTTATTTTTCTGATCAAATTGCATAAGGCACTATGAGAATACAGATTCATTGCATCCGAGGAGGAACTTCAGGTAAATGGCATACTTATCCTTCTAGGAGGAGCTCTCCCTTGAGGATACAGACATGCATCTATCCATCCTATATTTTTATATGTTTTCTGGGAATGTGCAAAACTTCCGATTCATTAGCTGCTGTAGGGAAATGGCCTCGCCCGCTATTACGGGAAAAAAAGGTGGATACAGTCAAGTGATACTGGGAAGACCTTATTAGCAGCTGCTTTGGTCAGCACCACCCTATTGCTCTTTCCATTCAATTTTACCATCACCTGATATCCTATTCTCTGACAAACCATTTTGCCAAATGAGGGAGTCTCTAGGTATTTGATTTCCCTTTAGAGAGCAGCACACTGTGTAAGAATCCACACCCTGGCGTGCTGTTGCTTTTGTTCCCGGGAATGTACAAACAAGGCCATAAATGCTTAAGGACTGGTTACACTATAAAAGCGAAGACAATATTCACAGTTCAGGTGCTCTGGGTGGAAATTAGTGTGACTTAGCTACTCAGGATTGAGCTTTCCACGCTCGGGTGAGTTTTTATGCTGTCCATTTATGTTTTGGTTAAAAAAGAACGTCACATAGTATATTATCATGTATTATATTATATAAAAGTCTTGGGTCAGTATGCTTTTTTAATGTGAAGAAGTCTTCTATGCATATATATTCTGCTCCCTTTGGCTGCATTTATTTGATCAAAAATACAGTGAAAATAGTGTAATATTATTACAATTTAAAAAATGCTGTGCTCTATGTGAATATATGTTAAAATGTAATTGATTGCTGTGATCAAAGCTGAATTTTCAGCATCATTACTCCTTTTTATTGTAAGTAAGCTGAGGGGTACAATACATACAGTACATAGAATGTAAACAAATGAAATCATACATCGAACAGACATGAGCTTGAGATACACTTACATGACTATACCACAGACTGCTGGACAAGCAAACAGATCTACATAAGGAATACATATACTTAACTCTATACTCACTTTATTTAACCCTCTGGGGTCTGAGAGACAAAGGGCCCTCTCCTAATGGCCCATCAGAGTGACTGTGACTGTGAGGCAGGTAAGAAAGAATGTGAGGAGACTAACATCTTAAACGCAAGTCAATAAGCATCTAATTTATCCACACCTTGATTATATGCCTTGTTTGATGTTTCAAGTTCAGCTGTCCAGGAACTTGTTTTTTTCAAAAGCAGTCATTTTCTCAAGTGTTAAAGTGTCTATGAATAGGTTGAACCATTGGGTAATAGATATTTTTGTTCTATCCTTCCAGTTGAATAAGTATAACTTTTTTGCTAGTGTGGATGAGGTAAAGATCAACTTTTTTGTTTCTTTTGAAGAATTAATAGAAGAAAGATCTCCCAACAGAAACATTGAATGGGATAAAGAGAGTAACGTCTAGAATCACGACTGACAGGACAAGAGGAGGGGAGGAGGGGAGTGAACACAGTTCAAACAGTAGGCAGGGATACGTCTTGTAGTCAGGCAGACTGAGAGAGAGGCCGTTGGGTCCAGCCCCGGGCGACAGTGGGCTAGAGAGGAAAAGGGGCTGTGCAGATGATGACTGGAGGTTGGCAGCGGTGGCCTGACAGGAACACAAGCTCATCCCCTCCACACTCGAGATCTCTCTTGGCACTGCACAGGCCTAGCTGCAGGGCAGACCCGGGGAGAAGATCGGTAGCTCAGCCTGCAGAACAGGACAGGACTGGAGAACTAACACACACTACAAACTAACCAGCAGGGAGAACTCAGTAACACTACGAATAGAATAGATAGGACAACAGACTGACAACACAAGAGGGAAAGGGAGAAGCATATAAAGGAGAGGAGAACACGAGTAGCAGGTGACGACACTCAGACAAACGAGGACTAAACTAAACAAGGAGGCAGGACGAAAGGAGCACATGGCAGACGACAACAAAGACAGAGCCATGTGCTCACACACAACACAAACAAGGAAACATTAAACAGTGGCAAAACAGACAAGACAGAGAGGGCAGGATCCTGACAGTATTTTGTGTCGTATCAATGTATTCTGGAATTACTAGATAAAACAAAAATACCTTTCCAAAGTTTTAAAGGTCTAGGTCCGTATATTCACAGTGAAGTTCATGGTAACGCTTTATAATAACGTTCATTAATAAATCATTAACAAATATTATGTAATGCTTAACGGATCATTAGTTCAGGTATATTCACATATCTAGAAACGTGAAATAATGTGCTTGTTAATGTTTCATACCTGTCAACCCTCCCGTTTTCCCCGGGATTCTCCCATATTTTACCTTTCTATCCCGCTATCATCCCGTTTAAATATTTTCTTGTATTTCTCCCGTATTTTTAATCTTTCTATAAAAAATGTAAAAAAATCTCACTGGGCGTATTTGATATGTTTGCTACATTCGCTTCCGGTAAAACTCCCGTAATTTGTATGGGCCAAACCTCATTATATGAATATCACGACAACAAATTCCAAGGCTGTCCAGTTGCCAGATCTTGTATGAAACGCATCTTTCTCACACGATCGACGCATACAAATTTGAACCCATTTGTCCCCTCAACTTGGCAACCTTATATAAACATTTACAAATGATGAATAGTCTCCACTTTAGATAGGGTACTGCAAAAACATGAACAAATGATTAATACATTATTTGTAAAGATGTGCAAATAGGGTGCATTCCTGTCATTTAGGACACTTTTTGCCATCAAAAGGACTGCTCATAAAAGTACTAATGATTATTAGATGTTTATAAACATTTACAATTAATGCATAGTTTCCACTTTAGATAGGGTACTGCAAAAACATGAACAAATTATTAATACATGATTAAAGATAGCAAATACTATCTTTAAAGATAAAGATACTATTTAAAGCAAATAGTAGAAGTCTACACAACAAACAAAGACCAAATATATGACCTTTACAGACTGTGATTATGAGCTAATGAATATATTAACATGGATAGTTTGTGAAGTGCTTAAAATGACTAATTAAGCTATATTTCACAACATTTGTAAATGTAAAAATGAGCATATATGTGAACTGAAGTTTAATGACATTTGTAAGCATTCAAAAGTGCATTAACAAATGAGCTTGTAAATATTGTATAATTTCTGTTAAAATCATTTGTAGATTTTTAAAACACATTGAAAGTTTGATGACATCTGTAAACATTAACTAATGATCCGTTAAGCATTATGAAATGTTTGTTAATGATTTATTAATGAAGCTTTTAATCATTGTAAACCATCTGTCAAAATCATTTGAAGATTAAAAAAAAATGCATGATCATATGAACTGAAAGTTTGATGACAATGATTGATTAATGGCAATGCTTATTCTTTAAATTTATTATACTTTGAAAGAGAGTTTTATTAATTATTAAATACAATTAGCTAAACCACAGCTTGGCTTGGCTGGTCAACCAGCTAAACCAGTTTAAACCGTCTAAACTAAACCTTTTAGTTTGAGTTTTTGGCTTTTTCCCCCAAGCAGGATAAGCTGTTGTTGGACACTTGCTGTAACATTCATTCAATATTTGACCACTATGTAAAATGTGATGCTTTTTCTATACCACAGCTGCATTTGTTTTTAACCTCTAAATGTGTTTTAGACGAAGAAATGCTTTGAATACATCTTGATCCTCATCATACCAATAACACTTTATATCTATATTTTTATCAGTTTTATTTTGATAAACATGACACAATATAACATTAGGATTACATGAAATACATTTTTGCTGTCATAAAAGCACGTATATTGAACATTAGTGGAACTGAAGGTGTCAAAACGAACACGTGGCATCAGTGAATCTGACTGTCGTCATCAGAATCACACACACGCCACATTCATGTGACATCAGACAGAACTATGACTGTAAATAACTTTGCTCCATGTTTTGTAATGCTAATCTATATTGCACATGTAGCAGTTAACACACACAACGGATGAACAACACTAACTCCCCATTGATTTGGGTTATTGGTAAACTTAATTCTAGAGTGGAAGCCATCTGAACATCAACTGATATGTTGTTCATGTTTGTAGACTGTGTAGACTTATCACTAACCACTAAGTATGTATTAAGGGAATTTGTTAACCTTATTGTAAATGGTACACTAATTCAACATTAACTGATGTCTTACTAACATTTGTAGACGGTTTATTAACATTACTTACCACTAACAAAGTATTTACTAAAGGCTGGCCCACAAAAGATTTGAAAAATCTTATCAGATTTTCAAAATGTTCAAGTTAGTTCATGTTAACTAATGCATTAACCAACATTAACTAATTAAGCTGCTACTGTGAAGAGATGCATTAGTATATGTGTAAGTTAACATTAACAAAGATGAAGTAATCCTGAACAGATGCGTTGTTCATTGTTAGCTCAGGTTAACAAATGCATTAACTAACGTTAACTAATACAACATTATTGTAAAGTGTTACCAGAAAATGTAGAAATAAAACTCTTCAGCTAGAAAACACCCTAACCAAACTACCCTGGGAAGGAGTGATCAGGAAAGAATGTCACATGATGTAGAGTATTGGATTGGGAGCAAGTGCCACACACAGCTTTGACGTCAGCAATAAATCACTGTCCTGCACTGTACACTATGGAGTTCATTTTACTGACACTTTCCATTGTCTTTAATCATACCATTGTGCTTCTAACTCTGGGAACATTAGAAGAATGCAAACCCCTATTCTTATGCCCATGATGTGTGTCTCGCATAGACTGGATTGAAAATGATGTTCCTCTGGTGTGTTCTGGTTCTTGTGAGCCTGCTCTCAGTGGCTACAGGCACCAGTGCAGGAGTTAAAGCCAGAATAACTCAGAAGGTGCTCGAGTATGGTAAGTAAGCAAGACAAGACTTCTTGTAACTCTTTGGAATAATAATAAATAAAAGTCTGTAAGTATGCTTCTATAGAACAAAAACTTGTTACCGTAGTGGCTGAAAAAGCTCTGGGTCAAACTCTGAATGGACATGGAGATTAAATAAGTAAATACTAAAGAGTCTATCACTGAATCACTATTGCAGTGATTAATATGTTTCTGGCATGTTATATGTTTGCCAACAACTGATGCAGTGTGCAGCTTTTATTTCCCAAAGAACCATATCAGAAGACATACCCATGTCCAAATCCCAGGATGACAATGTTAAGATTCACTGTGAAGCAGTGGTTCAGTGAGCATGAATGAAGGAGTCCTGAGTTTAACACCACTGACAGTCTTTAGGAGGTGCTGAGTCGACTTTACAGAGCGGTTCGACTCTCCCATTGTCAATACAAGACCTCAGCCCAACATTAATGCAACTCTTGATGGAAATAAATGCTGTGATGTGGCATGATGTTGTCAAAACAATACCACAACAAAAGCATAATGATATCCAAGCTAAAGGCGGTCCAATGAAATATTAGAGTGTGTGACTTGTTTTTGACAGGCAGTGTAAAGTCGAGTCCAGCACGCCCCAAAGACTCTCAGTGGGGTTCAGGTCAGGACTCTGTGGTGGCCAGTCTTTCACAGTTTGAGCCTGAGGAATCTTGGCATTGTCATGTAAAATATGTTTTTGCAACTGGGTTGTTTGAGAAATGAAAAGCTACACACTGCATCAGTTAGGGTTAAAATAATTGTTACCAAGCAAACAACCAGTGTTGCCAGATTGGGCGGTTCTGAATTTGATTGTGTGGGTAAAAAAGGGTTTGGGTGGGTGGACAAAATTTGGGCTGGATTGGGGTCAGTTTGGTGGTTTTCAAACATCTAAACTGTATAGGTTAATTGGTTAGCAAACAAAACCCAAGTGTGCATGTACTGCATCCAGTCAGTCACCATGACATTACTAAACACACACACACACACACACACACACACTGCAGAGTCAGCTGATGCAGGACGTGACGTCTCATGAGAGATAGGTTTTTAGCGCAACATGGGATAAGATTTTGAATGTATAGCTGTATATTCAATTAACCACAATGCCAGAGTGGCCTAAATATGAGTTACACAGTAAAGAGTGGGAGAGTGACTCGACTCTCACAACGTGGAGGAGAGAGGTACAGGGGGAGTGAATTTATTGTGTCAGAACAGCTTTAGAGTACTAGTATGGCTCACCTTCATGAGATGGGGAAAAAGAATTTGCTCCAGGTAGCTATTTATACACAACTGAGCACACACCCCAGATCTCAGGACACTCATCCTCAGGTACAGCTTCTAAATGCTACTTTGTTCTGAATGCAGGTCGAGCGATTGGAATTGAATCACTCCAGCAGAAACTCAGAACTATTCAACTGAAGGATGTGAGTGGCACAGAAAAACTGGATATTGGAAAAGTCGAATATAGTATTACAGGGTGAGATGAATGTCCCATCTAATGCATGGTCCTATAAGTTCCTACCATTCTGTTCCAAAGCTTAAACTTAGTTGACATATTCAAAAGATCTTTAAGTAATTCTATAAAACATGATATCTATTTGATTTGTATACCCATTTAGGGTTGTCCCCTACTGACAAATGCAACAAATAGATAAAGTTATATTTATTTGTCCTTGCAAAATTTAACTTAAAAAAAAAGATGCCATTTCGACTGAATCATTTGGTGATCAGTACACATTATTTTCTACATGTCTAATGAAACAAAGAGTTAAAAACTTGAGGTTGAAAAGGAATTGAACGAATGTTTTTTGGGAATATTGTAATAGCATACAGTAAAAGCTTCTCCGATATACCTGATAGGATGCAGATTGTAAACCTGGGACTTCCTAAATCAGCACTGAGGTTAGTTCCTGGCACTGGAGTCATGCTTTCAGTCGGCGATGCCTACATCTCTCTGCGTGGAAACTGGAGAGTGAAGTACTCCTGGATCATGTAAGGAGACATTGTTATATCAACTTTATTCATTTACACTAAACTAAATGAATGAATTCAATTAACTCCTTCATTTAGCTAAATATCTGGTCTCTTTGAACACAGAAAAGCCAGTGGATCGTTTGAACTGGCTGTGAGTGAACTGGCCATTAGCACCATTATTGCAGTCAAGAGTGACGTCACGGGCCGCCCAACAGTCAGCGTGACCAAGTGTGAAGCAGCTGTGGGAAGTGTCAAAGTCAGATTTCATGGTGGAGCCAGGTAACACTGTGCAACTAACACACAGCAGTCAAGTCAAAGTGTTGAATGCTAAATCACCATATTATCGGACAGATTTACAATAATGGCTTATAGAATTCAGCCTGTATGCAGCCATTGAGTACTACAGCCAAATAGTGGCTATTGATATTTTTGATAGATTTATATTTTATACCCAGTCACCAGGGGCCTCATTTATAAAATGTTGCGTATAAACCGTCCTAAATTTGTTTCTAAGGTCATTTCTCAAAAGTGCATAAGTGCGATTCAGAGAAAACGAACTTGCGCACAAAAACAGGTGTGTACGCCTCTCTTCCAGATGTGACGTTTATACATCGCAAATGATCTTGGAATTGTGCGCAGCTGACTGGTGTCAGATCTCCGCCTTGTACACGCCCCCTAATTAATATCATTACCATATAAAAGAGCACACGCCAATATCCGAATTTCTATGCTTGAGAACGACGAGCACAAAGAAAAAAAACTGTACTGAGTCTGAAACTGAGGTCCTGCTGGCGGAGCTAGAGGTTCCTGTGTCATTATTCTGTGGACAAATGTGTGTGGTTATATTTTTTCTATTGATTATTATCAACATTACTACTTCTAGAAACAACAGAAATAATAATAATAATAAAACGATTAAGTTTCCAAAAGTAAGAATAAACTACGAATTCAAGTAAAATTTTCAGTCATCTTATAAAGTGAGCCATCCTACTTGTAAAATCACTTGCTATGGCAACTAATAAAAAGTTTAGTATCACGAAATTCTTGCAAAACTTTAAAAAACATTATTGAAAGAAAAATGGGATGTTTCATATCATAATAAAAAAAATTATTACACTAATATGGTCTCCGGTCTGAAAAAACCTGCGTGTGATTTGGCATTTCTTTATATTTACACAGTTAACTAATGCTGCTCATTAATGTACTGACACAAAAATATATAGTGTATTTTA